AAGAACAGGACAACACTATATGTAGCCTAGTACTGCATATTATATATATATATATGTATATATAGTTGATCTTAGAAGCCACTATATACTTCCTTTTTTAGAACTAATTGCTTCCTGCAATGACCACAAAAAGAGCAACAAGGAAGAAATGGATGAGTGATGTTGGTTGTAGCTGTCAGACCACTGAGGCAGAATCCAAAAGGTTCTGTGGTAAGTCCACCTGCAGTAAGCTTGTCTTGATTCATTAGAAATGAGACCACCATGAGGCCTCATAATAAAAAACAACAACAGCGTAATAAAAGTTTTGGGTTGTCTCACAAGATGGATAAGAAAATCTCAGTATTTCATATTTTAAAACTTACTGACAGATGTTAACAGAGTTAGAAATAAGGACAAAAAGACCAAATCGTAAATTAAATACATTTTAGCAACAAATCAGTGTATTAAATGTGCTGCAGTTGCATCAATACAAACTTGATTCAGTCTAAGAAATACTTTATTAATCCCGAAGGGAAATTAAATGTTGTTATAACTCATTATCCTGGCTTCACTAAAGAGTTTTTATAGATGCTGGCTGTGGGCAGGGAGGATCTCTTGTTGCAGTCTGTCTGCAGATCTGGAAAGAAGCAAGATGAGACACAAGGTAGTAAACATGACATGGACAAAGTTATACAACTAAAATCTAAAAACCTGAAAAAATGATGCAGGAAAGTCAAAAAACACTGAGCAGGTGAGTTATGAAACTGGTTTGTATAAAGAACTTAAGGCTTTTTACAAAACCTGTGGGGGATTAGGTATGGATTTTCAAAATATCACTAGATAAACTTATATATCATTGATTTGGGTTTATAAAAGCAGTACCATGTAAGTTACAAAGATTTATTTTATAGTTATTGCCAAGTCTGGTAGATAATGTGCTTTCATTTCATTTCGTGTCATTTGTACAGTTATCAAGAAATTATTAATATTAAGGAATAGTAGTGAACAGATACAAAATATAAAAGATAAAACTGAATAAGCACAATAACACAAGGACTACAAAGATGGAGACAAATTTAAAACGGTTAAAAAAATTTTTTAAATCACACTGAAGCTCCGCCCACCATTGACATCACTTTATAAAGCTGCATTCGCTCGCGTCGGATCCGCCATTTTAACTTCCTGCTTCAAAAGGAGTCGGCCTGAAAATCCTCTTTTTTTTTGTTCTCGAAACGCAACATCGTTTAACCTCATCGTTAAACGTGATATTGACGGCGTTTTTTCTCTCGTTTTTCTTATCACAATTAAAACAACAAACTCTTTTAGTTAGTTTCTAACCGTTTGTAACAGTTTAGTTTCAGCCGGAGAGTCGCAATGCCGAGCCACACGCTCCGTGTAGCGGTTGTGTGCTCGAGCAACCAGAACCGCAGTATGGAAGCGCACAATATCCTCAGGTAAAGACGAGCCGCCGGGAGGAAGGCAACAGGAAAGAGCAGGAAGTGAACCAGATCCGTGCCGTGTCGAGTCGTTTTCTCAGCCGGTCTCAAGTCGCCGCACTGCCGACACTGACAGACCGGCAGGCCTCGACGCAGTTTAACAAAGGACACGCACTTCTTTGACCTGTAGCTTACTTTAAACTCTTAAATTTGTTTTGGATTCAGGTGTTTTGTTTTCTAAAACAATCGTCGACACTTTGTACATCATCAAGATCTTTTTAGAGGCCTCATTTTTTTTTTCCCCTTCTTTTGTGACAAATTGACAACAGCGCCCCCTAGACGGAAATGTTCCGGAAGGATGACACTGCAGTTGCGCAACACCCTTTGATTAACTTTTTTTTTTTTTTTTTTCTTCCCCAAGTCTCTTTTTAATTATCGGTGGTGTTCATCCATATTTGTGTTCTTTTACTAGAATGTATTCACCTTTTAAAATAGTTATTGAACTTTTTTTTTAGTAACAAAGCTGAAAAGAGATGTGCTGCTCAGTGACTGATGGGTCACTTGTAATAAATAAAAAAAAATAACAAGTTATGTAGTGACAGCACAATAAAACAGGATCACTGGCATTTAAATGTCTACAATTGTTAATGCAAAGAGGTTGATTATAGTTTGCCTAAAAGATGCTGTTTATAAATTTGTTGTTTTTTAATGATCTGATCTTTTTGTCTGTGCAGCAAACGTGGATTTGAAGTGCGATCGTTTGGGACGGGGACTCACGTGAAGCTACCCGGTCCTTCCCCGGATAAACCTAATGTGTATGACTTCAAAACAACTTATGAGCAGATGTACAACGATTTGGTCCGCAAGGACAAGGAACTGTATCCCCTTCACTCTCAGCTTTTCCTCACTTAGACACATCCACTCAAAGCCACATAAGGAAGCATGACCCGTGTGTTTATTGGTCTTTGTCTTCGGACAATGGGAGTTCACCTGTGGGTGAATCACATGTAGGGATTTTATGGAAGTTGCTGACACAAGCTTGGTTATAAAATATGGGGAAGGAAATGTCTATTTCAAGGATAGGAGGCTTCGCATCTTTAAGATGCCCACATCATAATGTCATACAGTTCGTTTACTTTTAAAGGTTGCCTGTTGCCACTATTTCTAACTTTCCCCCCTTTTTTTGTTGCAAGTTACTTTAGTAAGCAGCTGCTGGTGCCTTGTATGCACAATTAAAAGCTGGTCAGTAGCTGGAGGTTCTATGAAAATTATCAACAGGTAAGAAAATAAGAAAAATGTTTTGTTAAAATGGAGAAACCTATTAATAGGTTAAATTGTTTAAATACTTTTTTTTTTTTTTTTACAAAAATGTAAATTTAAGGTAAGTGGCTTTAGTCTTCATAAAAAAAATATACAGACACTACATTTAAAGACAAAATAGTGATGTGCAACTATTTGGACCTCCCATTTGGCCACAAATCTTAACTCCTCTGACTTTTTAAAAGAGCTTTTTTGTTTTTGCAGACATGTTGCTTTTAGTATTTTCAAGAACCCATTGAATTCTGGTTGTGAGTGGGCTCTTGCTTTTTTATATATATATATATATATATTTCCACTTTTTATGCATCACTTTTAGTGTGTAAGCATAGTGTCTGCCAGATTCAAATTTTTAGTGTTTAAAATCTGTCCTGTAAATCACATTGTGTACAAGTGCTGCCACCAGTAATAACTTGACACAGGTCACAGAAATGTGAGGCACAATTTAGGGCAATCAGTATTCATGAATTCCTGTTGCAGTAATTGTACATTTGATAGTATCTTAAAACGGTTTACTTCCTCTAGAAGTAGTTTTTTAACAGGAAGTGCACTCCCATCTCCCTTTCCACAAACACACGTTTATTAATGTCACCACTAGAGGGAGCTGTAGATTTTTATCAGCCCTGCTCACGTCTGCCCCCTTGTGGCGTGAAGGCTCATAGTCCTCAGATAAATGTCCATGTGCGTGTTAAACAGCCTTTCTGAGTTAAAGATCACTGCTGGTTTTGGTTTCTCTCTTGCTGCTGCTTTTGTCCTTGACTCCACTCATCAGATACACACAGAATGGCATCCTGCACATGCTGGACCGTAACAAGCGCATCAAAGCAAAGCCGGAGCGCTTCCAGCTATGCAAGGACAAGTTCGACCTGGTCGTCACCTGTGAAGAGAGAGTCTATGACCAAGTGTTGGAGGGTGAGGACTTTGCAGAAAAAGATAAACTGCTCTTTCTAAACTTGTTGGATTTTTGTTTTGTGTTCTTCAATAATAAAAGTTTTCCTGTGCTCACTTGTCCTTTTTTTTGTTTGTTTTCTCCTTTTCTAGATTTGAATTCAAGAGAACAGGAAACTTTACAGCCTGTGCATGTTATCAATGTAGATATTCAGGACAACCACGAGGAAGCCACGTTAGGCGCCTTCCTCATCTGTGAGCTGTGTCAGTGTGTAAGTGAAGAATGGGGCTCCCGAGCTGCTTTTTTTGTTTTGTTTTTGACAAATCATAATATAATCTAGGATGTCTACGTTATCATTCACTAGAAGTGGTTCTCAAATGAGTGTGTACCCCAGGGGGTCCTTGAAGGCATTCCAGTGCCACTTGCATATTTTAAGCCCATTAAGAATAGTGTGCCGTGCATAAATACACTAAAAGTTTACCAAGCACCATGAACCTAATTTTACAATTTGAAGGCTATTCATCTTTGTTATTCCTAATCTAATCAGATTAAGCCCCGTGTCCAGGTGCTCTGAGCCAGCCAGGCTCCTGTCACTCCTGCCTTGGAAACGATGTATTCATGGTTGAATTGTAGCAGCAATGCTGCTCAACATATAAATAAGTTAAATTTGTTTTCAAGTTTTGTGTAGACAGATAAATTTAGATTTTGTTTTAAATCACATCTTTATTTTCCTTTTATTAAAAAAGGGCATTTTGATTATCAGAAAGTTTAAGGATTTAGCCACATAACAGCACAATGATTTTATTTCCCAGCCAGATATTTTCTGTAGGTTTAGGGGGTACGTCACTAAACTGAGACCCACTTCTCTTGCGTATGGTGTGTGTTACTCAGTGGACATCATGTGACGTGCACACAGCTGTATGCACTGATTAAGTCTCATTAGTGTCATGTTTGCTTGTTTCCACCCTAAATGAAACCTTGGCTGTTGTCGTCCCTGCAGATCCAGCACACTGACGACATGGAGAATGAGATTGATGAGCTCCTACAAGAGTTTGAGGACAAGAGCAACAGGCCTTTTCTTCACACCGTTTGCTTCTACTGATGCACCACAAATATTTGCAATAAACCCACATCAGGACCCCCCAAGCAATCAAACGGGATACGGACAAACGGGCTTTATATTTTAGTCGTGTCCAGAACAGTTGTGTGCAAAGACGATAGCACTTCAGGTCAGGACCTCAAACAATAGATGGAAGTAATGATGAGCTGGTCCTCCTAAGAGGATTGAAATGCTGCTTTCATTCTGCCTTTGTTTCTCCAAACTCAAGTTAAGATCCTCTCCTCATTCCCATCAAGTGAAACCACAAACATGTCTCCTCAGGGAGAGCCATGACGCCCACATCCTAGATTGAACTGATCTTCAGTACAGCACATTTGTTTATTCTTTTCCAGATTTATTACTGTAATGTGTTCAGTATTAGTTTTAATTAAGTTGGGACGGTAAATGTTTACACGCAGGAGAAATATTAAATGTATTTGTTTTTTGTGCAACTATGTTGTAGATGAGTTAAGTTAAAAAGGGGTGGGCGGCTAAGAACGAATAACCAAACCGAGACTTGTGCGTTGATCTCTATACGACGTGCTGATTCTTATTTAAACTGCAATGGTGTCTTTCAGGGCTTCTGTTCTTTTTTTTTTTTTTTTTTTTTTTTGGTAAATGGAAAGAATTAAGGCTTTGTAATTATTTTTGAACTGCAAGTTCAGTTTTGAGTGCCTGACTTTTCTGTATGTAAATATAAATCAACTAAAGAAAGACATCAGAAACTTCAATGGCTCGTTGCTTTTGTAGAGCTCCAGAATTTTATTCCTTTTTCTCTAAATTTTCTTTTTTAAACAAAATCTTCCCAGTAGAATGAACTGGTAAGGTGAATAGATGAAGACTGGGCTGTTCATGTTTTTGGATGGTAAACTCTTTATGGAGAAAATGGGACAGGACTAATAGATTTGCATTTAGGGAGCTAAAGCATCTTTTCCTGTGTCTTCAGACTTCTCTGAAGTGGGAACTGTTTTACGGTCGATGCATCACTGGTGCCAGGATTGATTCATAAAAGTTGAAATTGCAGAGTAGTTGTTTTACATGTGTTGTATCTGGGGTCATTTACTTATCTAAATATATGAATTAGGATTGTAGACCAGGTTTGATTGAGTTTAAATAAATTTACTGAGCGGTACTTGTTTTCATGTTGGTATGTTTTCTTTTCCAGTTTTTCCTCTTATGTTTAACAATTCAATTATTTTTAATGTGCTCTAAGAAAATCTGTTTTGTTTAAATGCTGCAGAAGATTGTCCAGAGCTGAGAACATTTGTATCCCTTTAAACAAATATAAAAGTCCAACAATTCATGCTTAACTATGACAACTTCTAGTTTATTTTTCCATCAAATGCTTGAAGTTGCTACATTTGTGTTGATTAAATTTGAATTGTACAAATAAAGTGTTTAATCTATACATTTCTTCTGTGATAACCTGATTATTTTTACATTCAGGATATTTTGTGTTTTATTGGAAAAATAGTCTAATCTCATTGTAATGCACTGGGGCACTGATTGTATTATATTCTGTAATGAATACTTGGGTAAACCGATTATTTCATAGTTCTAGAAAAATGTTAAAATACACATTTTAATTCAATTCAGTTTATTTATATAGCGCCACGCCACAATAGAAGTCATCTCAGGGCACTGAACAGAAACATTCACATAATTTAACATTATTTATCTGAGGAGCAGACGGCTTTGAGTTTAACTCCATCACAGAACTCTCATCTTGAGCAAGCACGAAGGCGACAGTAGAAAGGAAAAAACTCCCTCATGAGCAAGAAACTTCCAGTAGAACCAGACAGGACAAGCGATCTGCTTCGACCCGCTGGGTTTGAGAACAGATCAATGGCAGATCAAAAATCGCATGTTTAGATAGAAATAGTATCAAATGAAAACTTCAATTTTAACTATTCATTTAAGGAAATTAGGTCAATTTGTCCTCCAGTAAAGCTTAAGGCAGCATAACAATCCAACCCTAACTAAAGGATGTATCAAAAAGGAAAATCTTAAGCCCAGTCTTAAAACTGGACAATTATGGACAGAAACTGGAAGTTGGTCACATCTCTCTTTAAAGCTCTATGTGGAAAACCTAGTAAAGAAATTAAAAGTTAAACTGGGTTTCTTTTCCAGAAACAGATCCTGACTCTGAATGCTAGGAAACACCTTGTAACTGTGACTTTCCTTCCCTCCATTGATGACAGTGACATTATTTACATGAACACTTCAGCACCCTGCAGATGTTGGATGCTGTCTATCGTGGTGCACTAAGATTCATAACTGGCTGTAACTACTGACACTTCACCTTGTATTAACTGGTTAACTGGACATCATTAACCTCACACAGACTCCCCCACTGGTACCACCTCTTGAGAATCAGTTATCCTTCTAGACACAGTTAAAATACATTGGAATGTCTTTCACCATAATGTAACTGGACTTTAATTAGGACCTATATTAAATAGTTATTGTCAAGATATAAAGAGCCAGGTGGTGAAAGGGTTACACATCTAAGAAATACATGACTCTAGTCTTAAGTCTATCTAAACTGTATCTTAAAAAGATTTGATTTTATGAACAGAAAAGCAACAATAAGATAATAAGGATGAAGTTAACTCAAGTAAATTAGCTCTCACCAGTAAAAGAAAAGATGTGCTGAAACATTTCCCAGATTAGTTTAGAAGCAGATGTTTCACCTGCCACTTCCACTTTAAGCTAAAGAAACTCAATTGATATCTGTCCATGCAGAGTTTCTGAAACTAAGATTAAATATTGATAGTAGCCATAACTATTTTTTTTTTTATTGTACACACAGTAACATATTTTAAACTACTTTCTAAAATAGAATTTCAGATGAGACAGGCCACAACACTAGATTCAAATAGTATTAAACTCAGGCTGGAACAAGCAAAATGACTTCCTCTACAGCTCCAAATTAATTTATTCATAAATGTAGACGCACAAAAATCAAATCAATGTCTAATCTTCAATTATGCATATATTTTTAATCTGTAAAGTTTTTCTGAACAAAACAAGCTCTGATCTGATGGATGGATGGATGGATGGATGGATGGATGGATGGATGGATGGATGGATGGATGGATGGATGGATGGATGGATGGATAGATAGATAGATAGATAGATAGATAGATAGATAGATAGAT